TAAGTTCAAAGTCTTATCTTCTGAACCATTTAAATTGAATATGAATTTGAGAGAAAGATGGGATAATGAGTACTGATCAAGTCCAAAACTCAGCAGAACAAGTTTCATAACTTTTAAGACATGAAAATAATTCTAATCTGACACCATCTGGGCAAGGGCCTTGCCACCTATTTCTGGTTGTTGGGCACACCCTCTGGCTTCTGAGTGTGGGCCCCTTGCTCTGGGCTTCAGCTTTGCTCCACAGGCCTCCTGGGATGGCAACTCTGCTGCCTTGGCTATAGGTGACTTCCTAAGACACTTTTGGCTTCTTTCCTACCTGTAGAATTTTAAGAGAGCACATTCTCTCCTTCTGCTTTGTCTCTTTCCCTTTTAGTCTAAGCTGATGGGTTTTCTGCTGTGGCACTTGGTTAGATCCATTAGTCACGGGCCTGATGTCTTCATCAAAAGATTGTGTAGCCCCCTCTTTGGTGATCAGCCTGGTAGGGTATGTAGGTATGCATCATTCTGTGAAGAGGCTTCATAAGGTTTATGGGAAAATTCCATTATCCTTTAGTTCCATTTTCCCACAAACATTTTGAAGCTCCATCGTGTATCAAGAGATTTAAATGCCTCATGCAATTGTGGAAGCTGTCAAGTCTCATATCTATGGGTCTGGGTCAGGCTGGTGACTTCTGCTGACTAATGAGGTTGCTAGGACTGACTGCCCAAATTGTCAGATCACATAGTAAACATAGTAAGCCCCACGAACCCAAAGGATAAGTTAGATGCCGGATCAAGAGAGACTGGGCTTTGCCAGCACATCCATGTATATTGGATGCAGGCCATATCCCTAAGATAACAGACTGACTTGTAGATCACAAAATACAGAACAATTACATTGTATTGCATTATGGAAGAGCAGTTAAATGCTGAGATACATGCCTTAGCCAAATTGATACATAACATTCCTCTTGGGCAAGATCTCACAGGCTTCATTCAAGATATTATAAATCAGAACCTCTGTGGGATAGTATAAGGAATAATTTCCTCTTTTCATCCCCCACCCCCTTATTTTTCTTCCACAGTTATTTTTTGGATGGCTCGAAACATAATAACATTATTCCCCCAACTAGTTTTTCTAGAGGCTGAATAATAAGATACCAGAATCTCATTTAGAGAGTTATAATATATATTGTTGGTATATATATTGTTGGTAACTCACTGTTCTTGTCAGAAAGCTGATTTATTTTTTACTAACTTTAGTAGTTTTTCTCATATTTAGGGAAAGAAAACTCCTTGAAACCTTATCTTAGGATTTAAAAGTGAATTTTTAATATATGATGTCTGCAGAAAGGTGCACAAATCTTAATAAAGTGAATTTTTCTAAAAAGTGAAGCTCTGCATGTGCTGCTTTCTCATTCTGGCACTATCCTAGCTGCACTATAGGATTGAAATAGGTGCGAGCCTTAATTCCTTAGATATTTTGCTTATAAAAAGATAATGAAAACTGAAAGATAATGAATACAGTTTTACTGCCATATAATTCAGATATCATACAATCCAGTAGTTAAATTGAAAAGGTTGTTGAGATTTGGATAGATATTAATAATAAGTCAGGTAGTGTTTAAAAAATAGTAACATTATGAAAAAGAACTATTTTAGTAATAACTTACAGCTTATTAAAATGATAGCTTTTGAAAATAGTCTAAATGATAAAGCAGTATCTGAATACTGGTGATTGTTTTTCTTATCTTGATTATTTTTAGGTGTGGGTAATTCTAGTGAAATTTACAGCAGGAGGTATTAAAGTTCTAAAGAGACAAAACCAAACAGTTTTAGTTAATTTGAACAGAAGTCTCATTTCTCTCATCTCTTTAGAATGAAAGGAATCTCAAGTGTTTGAGCCAGTGGCCACGAGGTGGCGCTTTTTGTATTCTTGGTAGTATAAAACAACTTGTTTTTTTTCTCTGGTGGCTGCCCAGTACATTGACAATAATATGTAGCAAATTAAAATTTTGTTGATGAAATATAGTGTAGGACATCAGAACTAATGCTGAGGTAGCAGATAACTGTTCAAAGAAGTTATCTGTTCATTATTGAATTTCTTGGTACCAGTTGAACTTTACTATATATGGTCTCTGCCCTCCCTTACGCCCTGAGGCTATTGCTTTTAAAGAATTCCTGCCAATGTTAGCAATTAAATGATTCAATTATTTGAAGTCTTCAGTATACAGAACCTGTAGGCTTGTACGATTCAGTCCAAGGCATTTTATCTTTTGTTGGCTGCTTGCTTTAATGTTTAGGTAATATGAGGGTAATTCAGAAAGTTTGTGAAAATATAGGGTATTTTCTGTGAATGTTTTGAAGCCCACTCTGCATATTCTTGACTCTGTATTTTCAGCCAATTCACTTTAACTTCTGCTTGGTCAAAAAAGAATTTGAATTTTACAGTTGCTTCATTTTTGTTCTGCTGGGTTTTAATTTTTTAATCCAAAATTTTGTTTCATGAGCTAAATATACTTGTAAAACTAGCATCTGGATAAACAAACATTTTAAATCACTTGAAATTTCTCTCATTGTTCTATTAATGGCTTTTTAGAGTAATTTCAGTTTGGTGCCATGGTTAGGAGTGTTAAACTTCTTACAGCAGTTTTGAAAGCATGATATACACATATCTAGTTCTTGAGTGATTTTTAAGCAAACAGAGCTTTCCCCTTCATGATGATGGAGAGCTTTAAAACCCATATATTTTCATTGCTATTTTAGCCAGCTTATAACTAGCTTAGGAACCAAGAGACTGACAGAGTATATTTTAGTAACCAGTAAGCTAACCTCACTTAATTATTGACTATCTCTAAGTGGATTGAGAACTATAAAGTCTAGCTGTTATTTTTGACCTCTACACACGGCTAAGAATCATATGTTTACCCACTAAGCTTCTTAGTCATGACTCATGATATACCCCAAAGCTTCCTCTGACAGAGAGAGGTTGCAGCTTCAGGAGATAGACGTAGTGAATCATGTGGGAAGATGAGACATTTATCTTGATAGCTAAGATCAACCCTCACTTCCTAGGGGGCGGTTCACTTTATAGTTTTTAGGACATTCAAAAGAGATGGGATTAGTATTATTTCTGTAGGTGATTAGAATGGCAATTGTATATTGTAAGCAGACTTAATTTCTTTTTCTTTTTTTTTACTTATTTCATTTTAAGAATTAAACCGTATTAAAGATTGACTTTTCCCTTCTACATTAGGTAATAAAATAGACTTGGAAAAGGAGAGGCATGTTTCCATTCAAGAAGCAGAATCGTAAGTGTTATGCCCCCATCACTCCCTGGTGAATGTTGACATTTCCCTCCTTGTGCTTTACCATATTGCTATTACTCAAATCTCAGTGTAGCCCGGTCTGTTGCATTCAGGGAAGCATGTTTATATTGGCAATTTCTGAACCTATGGCACTATTTTAAAAACATTCTACTCTTACACTCCTGATTTGTTTCAGTAAAAAAATTACAAATTACAAGAGTGATATAAAAGAAAACCATCATGATCAAATAGTGACAAAAACTTCTAAAGTATTTGGGCTCCACATTATAAATGTTTTGTACCTTGATAGATTTGTGCTGTTATGTAAAATGTGGTCCATTGTACAGATAACATGATAGCTATCAAGCCTTAATTTCACGGAACTTGGGTTAATTAATATAGTAAGTCACAAAAATGACTACTGTAAAAATTTAACAGTTGTGACAGTCACTGAAGTTACCCTTTTAAATTTTTTTAGGTATGCAGAATCTGTGGGAGCGAAGCATTATCATACTTCAGCCAAACAGAACAAAGGGATCGAAGAACTCTTTCTTGACCTTTGTAAAAGTAGGTATATTTAAATTTCATATGTTTAGAAATGACTTCTTACAATATTGGTAGTATTCCTAAAGTATTATTTTAACCATCTCCATTAACAAGCATTTGAAAACTCTTCACATCTACTGATACTATTATTTACATAGTATGTTTTCTTTTAATTAACTCACTTTTTCAAGCTTGAATACCTGTATTAGTTGTGTTTAAAACTATAGTTAATGGTTTAAAATCATATGTATGGTATTCACTAAAGCACATTAAAGTAAGTACATCAATGTCTGAGGGTATAATGAAGATATACCCTCAGGTAGAAGATAGAGATTAAAATACAGTTAAGAAGTAAAAGTCTGTTGCAGTGAATAAACCTTATCTGGATCTTGATTTGGTAAACTAGGGATAAAAGGAATGTTTCTAAAACAATTGGGAAGAGGGGGGTGGGAAAAATGAGGAGCTGATGTCAGGGGCTTAAGTGGAGAGCAAATGTTTTGAGAATGATGAGGGTAATGAATGTACAAATGTGCTTTACACAATTGA